GGCTAACAACCATCCATAACTCTAGTTCCAGAGGATCCAATGCCATCTTCTGGCCTCTCTGGGCACTGCACAACAGAGGTGCACTTACGCACAGGCGAGCAATACACTCATACACATAGAACAAAGTAAGACTTACCTAAATTTTGAACTTTGTTCTATTTACAAACTAAACTGATGAAAGTTTGAAGGAAAAGGTGTGGAAAGATCAGACGTGAACAATTGCATCAGCATGGAATGAAGGGAGTGGAACTAAAGTAGGAGGGCAAGGGCAGAGGTCCACATATAAACACATCAACTGAGCATCAATCTCTTTTTAACTAACTAAAATACCTAAATATTCCTTTGTGTTTGTGGGATGAGGTCAGATTCTTTGAATGAGATTAATTTTACTACACAGTGTTTGATAGACACTGAATAATAAAGTTTAAACACACTTGAACAGCATGGTGGGGATTATAGAACATGGTATTTATAATGTAAAATACAAATGAAACTGTAGGGGTACCACATTTTAACACTAAGCAATTCTTGTATATGAAGATCTAGGAACCCTGTCAATAATCAATAATAATAATGTTATTTAGTTAATATTAAAAACAGCTAGCATAACGTGAAATTGTAATGTGTTTAAATAAATTTGATTTTATTTATAGTAGAAAGCTCTACTGCACACTTAAAAATTAGTAAGACTGTATTTTTATAAAAAAAAAAACGTTGTCTTTAAATAATATGCATATATTCAATCTTTAGAGTTAGAAAATTAATGGTTTAAGAGACTGGAATTCCTGAGCATTCTAGGGCTTCTAGGTTGAAATCATGACCTGAAACAATTGGTAAATTTTCCTTTTTATTTTGAAGTTGGGGGACTGCATTTCAAGAGACAGTTACCCAGATGGCAACATCACATGGTACAGGAATGGAAAAGTGCTGCAACCCCTTGAGGACGGTGGGTATGAGGGAGTGCTAGATTCAGATGATCTGTTTGGATCATCTATAGTCTAGTCATTCTATGGGCTGCTATCCAGACTCACTCTATGCTGTTCTCTTCTGTATCTACGATTCTATGCTTTAGTTATATTAAATGACCATTAAATCACTAAGTGACTTTTTAGATACCATTTTATCCCTTATACAGAAGAATCAGAAGCAGAAAGAATTATTTCTATATATGGTATGTTCTGGAAGTTAATTAAAATGAGTGGGAGATAGAATTCCAGGATTCTATTTTTGCCTGTATTTCTGATTCACAGTTTTGAGAAGACATCCTACTGCACTCCATGTCAGTTTCCCCTCCTGCTAAATACAATTAGAAGGACAAAATCACTTCTAGAAGGTGTTAGGATTTGTAATTAAGGATGATGATTTTCCAGTGAAAGAGTCTATCATTACTGTCCTTTTTAAGATTCTATCATTACTGTCCTTTTTTTTGTAGTGGTGGACATAATTTTTAAAAAGGAAGTGGATCCAGCTACTCAGTTGTATACTATGACTTCATCCTTGGAATATAAAACAACCAAGGCTGATATACAAATGCCATTCTCCTGCTCTGTGACATATTATGGACCCTCAGGCCAAAAAACAGTTCATTCAGAACAATCAGTCTTTGATATTTACTGTAAGTAACTGAATATATATATATAGATATAATTGTGTGATTTTAGCATTATAAAAATAATTTTCAAATACCAATAATCTTTGAAATCCAAACCCAGGTACTCTTCAGAATGTACTGCCAATATTCACCCCAAATTATAATATTTGAATAATGTTTTCTTCATTAGGAAACTCAGACGGAAAAATATTTAATTGCTTTATAGCCTCCACTATTTACCATGCTTTTATGAATGTTTTCTTATTCTGTGAGGTGCTGAATTCCTTAAAAATTGAATCACTAACTTGGTCAATTCCCTCCAGCAATCTTCAGCCTAAACTCATTGCCACAAATTATGACAATTTTCTAAACAAGTGATACTAACTTACTAAATACTAAACTTACTAGCTTACTAAATACTAATTTAGCTAATACTAGCTAACTAGTTAGCTTTACTAACTTACTAAATACTAACTAGTTTCCTAAATGTAAAATTATCATTTAATGATGGGATTTATTTATTTATTTATTTATTTATATTTATTTATTTATTTTTCTTTT